TGCTGTGGCGGCACACACCCTCCCCTCCACTGGCCACCGGCGATCATCTCACCTTCCTGCACGCGGCCTCCCGGCCCCCTCAGGGTGGTGGACCCTGGGCGGAGAGGACAGACTGCAGCTCCGGAGGAGTGGGGGCGTCTCAGCGGTCATGGTGCTTGTCACCTCCAGGTCCTTGATGTGCACCCCAGTGTGTCCTGGGTGCCGGGGCTCCCTGGGGCCACTGTCAGGTGTAGGGGCCTCGAAGCACTGTGTTTTCTTCATCATCTTCAGGGGTTGCTTCCTGAGGCGGGGACCTCGGGCCAAGGGGGGCTCGGGGCGGCAGGGGGAGCCGGTGTCCGGGGGGTCCCCTAGGGACGATGGTGTGCCCCCCAGAGCAGGCCCTCCTGGGCCCAGGACAATCTCCAGTGTGGTCAGCTCGTCCTGTCCTGAAGGGCTGGCCTCCTGGGGGAGGGGCGGTGACCTGCAGCTAGGGGCAGCTTCAGGAAAGGCTTCCTCCAGGCGTCGGCTGGTCTGCTGGCCCTGTGTCCACTGGGCCTGGCATGGCCACAGCTCCTGCCCACTGCCTGGCACCGCCTCCCCTGTGAGGGCCCCTTGGCAGTAGCTTCCCAGGTGCTCAGCGTCCGGCAAGGAAGAGGGGGCCTTGGGGGCCAGGTGTGCAGGAAGCTCTCTGCACGATGTCCTCCACCCAGCTGCCTGAAGACAAGGAGGTCAGTGAGGGAGGGCTTGAGGTGTGTGGCCCAGCAGGGCTGTCATCACAAACCATGTGGTTCCCAGCCCAGGAAAGCTCCAGTCAGCCCAGCCCGGGCAGTGACGGACGGCGGGAGGGATAAACAAACCTGGGCCCGCTGCACCTGCTGGCGGGGGAGGACAGGGGGACCACCTCCTGCCTGGAGCTGCGCCAGGCGCCGTGAGCTCCAGAGGAGTGGGTGCTGGGTGGTCTGTGTCCCGTCCGGCTCACCCACCCTTGCCGCTGCCCCCTGGAGGCCTCGGGACCCCTCCTGCTCCCCCTTCTCGTTGTTGGGGGAGGGCAGCCCCACCGGGTGGAGGCCATGCTCCCGCTGTCTTTCAAACCTGCCTTCAGCCTGTGGAGGAAAAGAGTTTATTTTCCAGCGTGGGCAGGGAGAAGGGAGACAGGCTGTCCTGACGTGAACAGGCGCCGTGACATGAACATGACATGACGTGAGCGTGGATACAGAGCGAGCCCCACTGCTGCACGTACGACACCTGTTCCCGAGTGTCCAGGGGACGTGAGCCCACCCGGCATGAGGTGACCACACTGCGGCTCATGCTCATGATGACCGTCAGAGCCTTCTCTCTGGAAACCTGTTAATTTGCTAAATGCCCGAGAACATTCTTAGGGCTGGGGGCTGCTGAGACTTCTGGGGGGTGGGGCGCCGGCTCCCCTCCCCCTGCCCTACACCTGCTACCCTTCCCCTCCCACAAGTCAGGTGCTGAGAAGAAGTATCAGATAAAAAGGGCCCCGGAGCAGAGCCTGTGAAGAAGGGTTGAAGATGAAGTCGAGAGAGCGCCCATCTTCCTCTGGGGAGAGCTGCTATGGAAATGAGAAGGAAAATCAGAGATGGTGCCCTGGTATGGGAGCCCCTGGGAGGGGATAGCCACAGCAGGGGCCCCAGCTCTCAGCAGGCACCGCGGGATGTGCTGTCCCTAACTTGCAACACTGAGGACACAGCGTTGCAAGCTTCCAGGGAGGAAAAAGACCGCGGTCAGAGGGCACCAGTTACATGCCAGCGGCCGAGCCGCATGCTCACCGGGCAGGCAGCCCCCAGGAGGGGCGCGAGGCAGGCGGAAGGTGGGGACGGCCATTTCAGCAGGCTGGCCTTATTCCCCTCCCACGTCCACCCTCTGGAAAGCTCGGAGAGGAACAGCTGCTTGAAAAACAGCATCGGCCAAGGAAGAGGGAGACCGGGCCCAGGAGCAGGGCCTACCGGCTGTGCCCACAGCCTCAGGACCTTCGGACAGGCTAGTAGCTGCACCCACCCTGCTGCAGAGGGTCCCTGCTCCCCCGCCCTGGTGTGAAGGGGTCTTTGCTACACCTACCCTGATGCTCTGCCCCCACCTGCAGCCAGGGCCACGTGGATATTCAGCTCACACCACCCACACTCACCTCAGGCCCAAGAACCAGGATAGGCCAGGTGGAGCCTGGACACCACTGATGAGAGTGGACAGAAGGCTGACACTGGTGTATATGCACATGTACACGGAGGGGCTCTAGGTACGTGGACTGCAGCTGTGACACTGTTGTATACACATGTACACGGAGGGGCTCTGGGTACGTGGACTGCAGCTATGACACTGGTGTATATGCACATGTACACGGAGGGGCTCTGGTACATGGACTACAGCTGTGACACTGTGTTTACGCACATGTACATGGAGGGAGTCTGGGTACATGGGCCAGAGCTGGAACACTGGTGTGTGCACACACGTGTAGGGGGTTCTGGACGTCAGCAGACAGGAGGCTGACAGGGTTCTATCAGTAGCCTCAGAGAACAGGTCTTGGCTCTCTTCTCTGAATTAGCATCCGCCTACACGAGTCGCACTTCCCTGCACGCAGGATGGAAGCTCACCTCTTCCCACGGGAGCCCCGAGGGCGGCCTGTGGCGCCATGACTCACCTGGGCCGCAGCCTCCTGGCTCCTCCGCTCCTGCAGGCCCTCCAGCCACTGCAGACACCTGTTGGAGGCAAGGACCAGCCCGTGCACTTCCTCGTCCACCCGCTCATACAGGCTGGCGGCAGCCTCAATGGTGTCCCTGGAAGAGAGGGTGGACAGGCGTGTCCTGACCTGTGCGACACGTGCTGCCGGCGACAGCTAGAACACCTGCAGCCCCTCACTCACACCTGAAAGAAACAGACACCCAGGAGGGGTCCACGGCCAATCGCAGACATGGCGTGCACACGCCGATGACCCTGTCTGCACAGACACCCAAGAGGGACCACAGCCTGCTCCATGTGGCACGGAGGGATGGGGCGGGGGATGGCAGCCCTGGGAGACAGGGAAGCTGAACGTGGGCCGCCGACTCTGTCACCATCCTGGCGAGTTTTGACTTTCCCTCCACTCGGGCTTTCCCAGGAGCCTCTGCTTCCCTTCGGAGCATGTGAGTGCCGAGTAGCTCCGGCCAGGCCAAAGGTGGTGACGCCGGCCCAAGTGCAGAAGCCCGACCCCCTGGAGTGCCTCCTGGTTGGAAACGAGCACCCTGCCCCGGCAGCGTGCTCTGTGCCACTGCTGACGCTCCCGAGAGAGCCACGCCCACGGACTCCAGCAGCCCCGCCGAGGGGTGCGCTCACCGGCCGTCCTCGCTGGCGCCGAGCTCGTCCCTGCTCAGCCGCGCCAGGACCGTACCGCCCTCCAGCCTGAGGGCCACCAGCAGTGCGTCTTCCAGGACACACCTCATCACGGCCCTGTGCCTGCCGATGAGCTCGGTGACTTCCTGGGGGGGAGGGGAGAAATATCCACACAGCCTGCTGCAAGGGAACCCCGTCCGTCAGCAGGAGCCGTGCTCCGAGAGAACCCCTGCCCGGTCCGCCGGCTGGAGTCATGCTCCGGGCCCCCACCCCCTTCTATTACCAGGCACCCAACAGTCTACTGTTGTTGGTGGGTGTCACTGAGTTAGTTCCAGCTCAGCACCCCCACACACACCCTGCACCATCCTCTACGGTCATTGCTATTGCTTGAGCCCACTGCTGCAGCCACTGGGACAATCCGTGTTATTGAGAGTCTTTTCCACCGACCCTCTGCTTGGACAGGCATGACGTCCTTCTCCAAGGACTGGTCCCTCCTGACAACACGTCCAAAGTACAGGAGGGAAATTCCCACAATCCTCGCGGTCGGCCCCTGGCCTCGTCCTGAACCACACTGAGCTCTTCCGTCATCTCTCTCCACAGATGTAGTCAGTTGGATTCCCATGTATTCCATTCAGCAAGGTGTATGTGTACAGTTGCTGTGTATGTTGTTAAAAAAGGTATTTGCTATGAATAAGCTGCTGGTCTTGCAACATTCTGCCCTGTTATCTGCAGTGTCACTTCTCTCACCAAGGCCATGTTTGCCAACGACTGATGTTTCTTCTTTGTTTCCAACTTTTGCATTCCAGTCACCAGTGATCATCTGTACATCTTGGCTGCATGTCTGGCCAATTTCAGACTGCAGAAGTTGGTAAAAGTCTTCACTATCTTCATCTTTGGCATCAGTGGTTGATGTGTAAATCTGAATAACAGTCATATCAGCTGGTCCTCCTTGAAGGTGTATGGACATTGTCCTATTGCTGACAGTGTTGTACTTCAGGACAGACCTTTAGATGTTCCTTTTGATTTTGATCCTCTTCAATCTGTCATTGCCAGCACAGTAGACCATAGGATTGTCCAATTAAAAATGCCCAGTACCACTGCATTTCAGCTACCTATCTTTAAGCATTTCATTTTTGACAACTTCTGATGAAACTTCCTAGTTTCATATTTTGTACATTGGTCAACTATATGAAGAAGAACTCAGCATCAGGATTGGAGGAAGACTCATTAACAACCTGTGATATGCAGATGACATAACCTTGCTTGCTAAAAGCGAAGAGGACTTGAAGCACTCACTGATAGAGATCAAAGACTACGGCCTTCAGTATGTATTACACCTCAACATAAAGAAAACGAAAATCCTCAGAACTGAACCACTTAAACAGCATCACGATACACAGAGAAAAGATTGAAGTTGTCAGGGATTCCATTTTACTTGGATCCACCATCAATGCCCATCGAAGCATCAGTTAAGAAGTCAGATGTCATATTGCACTGGGCACATCTGCTGCAAAAGACCTCTTTAAAGTGTTAAAAGATGGCACTTTTAAACTCAGGTGTGCCTAACCCAAGCCCTGGAATTTTCTGTCACCTCACATGCATGTGAAAACTGGATAATAAATGAAGGAGACCACCGAATGGACTGATGCCTTTGAAGTGGTGTTGGTGAAGAATACTGAAAATATCATGGACAAGTCCTGGAAGAAGTGCAGCCGGAATGCTCCTCAGGAGTGAGAGTGGCCGGAGTTCACGTCTTGTATTTTGGTCATGCTGCCAGAGAGGACCAGTCCCGAGAGAAGCAGATCATGCTTGCCAAGGTAGAGGGTCAGCAAAAGAAAAGAGGGGAGGACTATCAGCAAGACGCACTTGCAGGGTTCAAGCCCAGCACTGACCGGGAGGCTGGCGCAGGGCCAGGCAGCGTTTTGTTCTGTTCTCCACGGTGTCACCCTGAGTCAGCACTGACTCGACGGCCCCTGACAACAACAGCAATTCCTATCCATGCCATGTTGGCACATCACCAAACACAGTGGTGTGTTTTTCCTTCCAAGTGGGGTGGGTTGTTTCTTGATGATAAGCAGAAAGAAAGGACCTTTGCTAATTGCAAGGAATCTACAGTCAAGAAGGGATTGAAATTCTCTGCTACAGGTGATGATGAAGCCCAGTACTCATTTGCAACTTTTAGCTAAACTCTTATGTTCAGTAAACAGGATGTGTGAGCACTTACCTGTGCTGTACTTAAGGTTCTGCGAGCGTTCAGGGAGCAGGCGGCATCTTGTAAGAAAGCAACGGCTTGTCTGCAGTTTGCCATGAAGACTTCCAGCTTCTATCGTGGTTTAAGAGGTGGGGGACAGCAGTAGAGAAATTCTGTTAGATGCCACCATAAACAGCTTTTGAGTTCCTAGATTTCTGCCAGTCCTCTGGCTGTAAAAGACTGCTGGGGTGTTGAGTGTGATCCTTGGACGATCCGGTGGAACCATGAGATGGGAACAGCCCCACCTCCCTCCACCAGGGTGGACTCCAGGCCTCAAAAGGTTGCTATCCTTGTGTCAACCACGCCTTGGTTGTTCAGAAACAGAGTCTATGGGTGAGGACCATTCACTGGTACTCAGGGTGGCGCTTTTTCAAATTTGAGTAAAAACATCCATATGAAGGAAAGTCCCCTGCACTGGCAAGGGCAGACCACCGTGCAGCACCTTACCCTTCGGAAGCAGACCCAGTCACTGTGGCTGTAGGGAAAGGAGCCGTCGAACTCTGCCGTCAGCTGGGAGCTGTCAATGAGCTTGTGCAGGGCCTTCAGGGAGCTAACCACCTCATACTGCCAAGGAAAAGCATTCATGTGTTGGGATCACAGGCCACCTTCCTGGGGAATGGCTCACCATCAATGACTTACTTCTGGGGGGATTGCTATTACTGAGTGGTGAGCCCTGAGAGGCTGGTTTAGGATAGCTCTCCTGCTCTGCATTAATGACCAGTATGCAGCTGGAGACAGTAATGAAAGTGAAAGAAGTGTAAGAAGAAGAGAGCAGAGAGAAATGAAGAAAAATCCTCAGTTAAGGAGAGACAAAGACAATGGGAAGGAGAGAGGGCAGGAATAGGAATGGAGAAGAAAAATGTTAAAAAGAGGAGGGGAAAAGTGACAGAAATGAATCAAGGGGCTCTTCCAATATGGCAGAGTTGACCCTTCTCAGGAAAAAACCATGAGCAATACACAAAGTATACGGATAGCTATCTGAAAGCTCAGGAGGGTGACCAGAAGGTACATGGTGGGGTCAACTGAAAGTCTGATGAACTGAGTGGCATGGAGTAACTTCTCCATTTTTGTGGCTTTGGGCTGGAGACAGACTGTGTATATGATGAGACAGGGAGTGGCAGGAACTCTGGGAGGAAATGGGCATCTTTCTGCCTGAAGGGCCAGAGGATAGAGCCTAGAATGCCCACAGCCATTGGAAAGGGATAGCAGATTCCCAGAAGGAAGAAACCCAGGGAGTGGGAGCCCCAGAGCTATGTGTAAACTCTGCCTGAGTCTGGGAACATGGGGAAGATTAAGAGTAGCTTACAGCTAAAGGCAATAAGAATTCAACCAACCCACTAAAGTGGACACAGAGTTTTCTGTGTGAGTCAAACCAAGTTAAATCAATGCTAAAACAACATTCTTCAGAGGCTTAAAACAGAATCCAGGCTCCACAGCAGCACATTCACAATGTCCAGGGTATAATCCAAAATTGCTTGTCACAAGAAAATGTGACTGATTCTCAAGGGAAAAGATAACAGAGGCCAAACCTAAAATGACCCAGATGCTGGAATTACCAGACAAAGACTTTCATAATTATGTTCAATGAGGTAAAAGAAAATATGCTTGCAATGAACAAAAAGATAGATCTCAGCAGAGATACTGAAAATATTTTTAAAAAACCCACTGGACATTTTATCAGTGAAAAAATACAATATTTGAAATAAAAAATTAACTGGATGGAGTCCATTGGATGGACATGTCAGAATAAAAATTCAGTGACTCTGAAGACAGAGCAATAGAAACAATCTGATCTGAGGAAGAGAGAGTGAGAACTCAGATTCTTGGGAACAAATGGGACAGTATTAACATGTATAACTCAAGTCCTAGAAAAAGAGGAGGGATTGAGGCAGAAAAAACATTTCAAGAAATAATGCATGAAAACTCCCCAAATCGGATGACAGACAGAAATATACAGATTTTAAAGGTTCAGTAGAACAGATACCTTAGGACTTCTGGTAAGATGGAGGAATAGGCAGACAAGCGACACAGACCCTCTTCAACAAAGAAAAGAGAAACCAATTGACACAGATACAGAAGATAATCCTGGAGTCCTGAGCTTTGAAAGGAACTACACAGAAGTGGATTAGGCACCAACTAGCGGAAAAACCTGAACAAAAACAGTGAGTACAGAGATGGTCGGAGCTGTGGACTGTCAGCTACTCTAATGAGACCAACGGCCTGAATATTTCCAAGTGGTGTTGGGTCCTGAGAATTGACCTAAAGATCAACCCTGGTCACCAAAGGCTGCAGGTACAACTGCACTGGTGGCCTATGACTAGGAAGGGAAACAGCAAGGAGGGAGACAACCTGAGCTGTGGACTTTCCGCTGTTCAGAGCGCACAGCCATTTTGATTGTTTACATGTGGCAGCCATTTTGGATATTTAAAGTGACTGAAGGTGCAGCCATTTTTAATCTTTACAAGTGGCAACCATTATGGATTTTAAAGTGACAGCATTCTCATTCAGATTCCAGGGACCTAAGAATAGGCTCTGTTTGCCAAGGTTGACAGGGATACATGAGGGGCTGACAATAGGAAAGGAGACAGGTGGTGAGTATATAAGTGCTGTCAACTAGTGAATAGAGGAGCACAGTACCCTGCTTGTGTAGATAACATATAAACAAAACAAAGAAAATGAAAATCATGGGCAAGTCACTTCAACATACAATCACCAATTAAACATAAACAAAAAAAAGTCACAATGTCTTGGAGACAACAGAGCATCACAGTCCACACAAAGAAGCAAGATAAAGCAGGAGAAACAACAGAACAGGATATAGATCCAAAACACGTCCCTGAGGAAGATGCAGCATTGGAACACCCTAATAAGGAATTCAAAAGAATTATATTTAGGTATCTTCAGTGAATTGAGAGACAGATCAAGAAAAACACAGAGAAAACCTTAGAACAATTTCAAAAGACAATACAAGAACAAAAGGACAAATATAAATGAAAAATTAGAAATGATACAAAATCTACACATAGAAATCCAGAAGATTAATACTAAATTTTCAGAAATAGATAAGACATTGAATGGCCAAAGGAGAAGAATTGAATCAATGGAAGACAGAATTAGGGAGATTGAAGGCAAACACCTGAACACGTCTTTGGAAAGGGATCAATCAGAAAAAAGATCAAAACAAAATGAAGACAGCCTAAGGTTCATGTGGGATACCATCAAAAGGAATAACCTACGTGTGTAATCAGAATTCCAGAACAGGAAGAGACAAATAAAACCACAGAGAAAACTGTCAAAGATTTGTTGGAAGAGAATTTTCCTGGTATAATGAAAGATAACAATATATCCATTCAGCAAGTGCAACAAACCCCAAACAGGATAGACCCCAAAAGAAAATTACCAACACCTATCATCATCAAACTCACCAAAACCAAAGACAAAGAAAGAATCATGAGAGCAGCACAGGAAAAATGAAAAGTGACCTACAAGGGGCAACCAATAAGACTCAGCTTGGATTTCTCGGCAGAAACCATGCAGGCAAGCAGACAATGGGATGGTATATATAAAACCCTGAAAGAGAAAAATCTCCAACCAAGAATTATGTACCCAGCAAAACTGTCCCTCAAATATGATGGTGAAATTAGGATATTTCCAGATAAGCAGAA